CCAAAGGACACAATCAATAGAGTGAAAAGGTAACCCCTGGAATCTGAGAAAGTATTTGCAAATCACATTATCTGATAAGGGAACTCCTACAGCTTAAAAAAAAGAAGAAGAAGAAAGAACAAAGGTCTTGAATAGACATTTCTCCAAAGCCAATATACAAATGTCCAACCAGCATATGAAGAGATGCTCAACATAAATAACAATGAGGTAAATGCTAAAAAACCAATGAGCCCTACCCGGTTTGCTCAGTGGTTAGAGCATTGGCCTGCGGACTGAAGGGCACATGCCCAGGTTGTGGGCATGCAGGAGGCAGCCAGTCAATGGTTCTCCCTCATTATTGATGTTTCTATCTCTCCCTCTCCATTCCTCTCTGAAATAAATAAAAATATATTATTTTTTTAAAACCACAAAACAAAACAATGAGATATCACCTGACACCCATTAGGATGACTAATCTGAGAAAAACAAAATAATAAGTGTTGACGAGAATGTGGAGAAACTGTAATTACTGTGCCTGTTAGTGGAAATACAAAATAGTGCAACCGCTATGGGAAGCAACATAACGGTTCCTCAAAATTTTAAAAATGGCAGTTCCTCAAAAATTTAAAAAGTTTACCATTCGATCCAACTGCACTTCATGGGATATATCCAAAAGAATTGAACACAAAACCTTTCACATTTGCATACCATGTTAATAGCCGCATTATTCACAATAGCCAAGAGGTGGAAGCAACCCAAGTGTCCATTGACAGACGAATGGATAAGCAACATGTGGTATGTACATACAATAAAAAAATTATTAAGCCTTTCGAGGAATGAAATCCTGACATGTATGGACCTTGAGAACATTATGCTAAGCAAAATAAGCCAGTTGAAAGAAGACAAATACAGTTGACCCTTGAACATGGAATTGAGCTGCACAGGTCCAATTATACTTGGTTTTTGTTGTTGTTTTTTAATAAATAAGTACAGCACTGTAAATGTCTTATAATTTTCTTAACTTTTTTTCTAACTCACTTTATTATAAGCATACAAGATATAATACATATAACATACAAAAATATGTGTTAATTGGCTGTTATGAGTAACACTTATAGTTAACAGTAGGCTATTAATAGTTAGGTAGTGGGGGAGTCAAAAGCAGGGGTAGGTGTCCCTAACCCCAGCATTGTTCAAGGGTCAACTGTACTGTATGATTCCACTTATACCAGTTATCTTTAAAGCAGTCAAATTCATAGAGACAGTAAGTAGAATGGAAGTTGTTAGAAGATGAGAAGAGGGAAAATGAGGAGTTACTACTATTTAATGGGTACAGAGTTTCAGTTTTGCAAGATGAAAAGTCCCAAAGACTGGTTGGAACAATGTGACCGAACTATACTAGTACACGTGAAAATGGTTAACATTGTAAATTTTCTTATATGTTCTTTACCACAATTTAAAATTTAGGAAAAATATTCAGGCACTGAAAAAATTTACCAAATACAATTCACCACTGTGTTTCCAGTTCATATTCAGCATAGTAATAAGTTCAAGTATAATAATCTAATTTTCTTTTGAAAAGATGTCTATAGTCAATACCAAACTACTGTGAATACATTTGTTGATAGCTTATGGGAAACCAAAAACCCAAATGGGAATCAAGTTTTCATTACTTGACCTACCAACATTAAAAGAGGCCTGTATTTTGTACTATCTGAATATTAAATGTGTACTGCTTGGGTAAAGGAGGAAAAACTCTACCTGCATTTTCTGCAAAGTTCACCAAAAGTTCTTTATGCTGAAGAATCAAATTATTTAAAATTATTCTCCCTAAGATTCATTCTATTTAATCTTATCTGAAAGCCACCATTTTCCAATGAAGTTTACACTCAAAAAATTAAATACATATTACATCTCATTTTAGGGTATTGGTCCAAGATTATCTTCACAGAGGGGACACGGAGTAGTAGTAGGTCAGGTACCATTCTAAATCCTGAAATAACCTAACCAGTACTAGTATAATGAGTTGTAGGAGTATGGAATCAGTCTAGTGACAAAAATGATGAATTACAGGCTAGAATAATATTTAACATCTGAATATAGCTGGAACCGAACTTAAAAAAAAAAAAAAGGGGGGGGGGGGGGGGCAATATTGAAAACATTTCAAGAAAACAGAATAATTTGGGACAGTATGAAAAATAAACCAATCTACATATAAAACTTCAATCAGACTTCTCTAACTTTAGATGTGCCCTAACTTTAGAAATTAAGTTCAAATGTTCAGTGGCTCTCAAAAGATCAGCATTATTTTTGAAACTCTGGTGAACATGTGAAAAAAATATATATTGAATTTAGCTGCAATGATAAGCAATTTAATAAGGAGCTGCTATACTTAAGGAAAAGATTTGACTAGAAGCTACACATTGTTCCATGACTGTAGACATGGTACTGATTATCAAAATTAAATATTTATAAGGACTTCTAAATGCAAGGAGTATTTTTAGTGGGATATCCAAAATGCTTGAAGAAAACATTCACCAAGTATCATTCTTTATTCTCAGCTACTCTATAGAGGCCCTGCAAATTCGTTAGTATCCTAACTAATATCTCAAAGATGTTTTACTTATAGGTATGCTAACTAAATTAACAGATGCAATATAGATATTAAAAATACTTTTGGCTATAGAAAAATCACATACGTACATGTATGTGGGGAGAGCAAGTTTGCAGTATCTATGCCATACGTACATACACACACACACGCCCACATTTATGCTGAAGAATCAAATTTAGATATTTAAGAAAACTTAGAAACTTAAAAGGTTTTCAGATGCTCTATAAAATCAAGCATCTAGCTGGCCTTTCCTCATTTCCTTCAATTATTGTGATTATATACAAATATTTAGTAGTGTGGGCTCCACAGATGCTAGCATAGAGGGTGATGAAAGTTATTTATGTAAAAACAGGGTAAGAGGTATTCCACAGAAAATAGGCAGATACAAAGTACTTTTACAAAGAAAATGCATGAACTATATTTTGTGTTAATTATTTGAGACATCCAAAATTCTTCATAATTTACAATTTATAATTGTAAATGTATACTATCTAAATTAGCAAAAAAAAAGTCTTATGATGAAAAATATAATCTGGAAAGATGTTTTCTTCTCACTGAACACTTTACTCGATCATTTTCATTTTCATTTTGAAATTGTGGCTTCCTAAGTTAGTTTAATACTAGTATCATTTTATGTGCCAGCTCAGGACTTAAGTGTTAATATCTCTCCTTGCTTATTCATCAAAAAAACTGAGAAATATTATTCCTTCCCCTTGTTGAATTAATAAATCCTAACATGCAAAAACATCCTAATCTCCAGGCTTTTCTCTTGGTCAAACTGGTAACAGCACAGCTGGACCACCTTCAACCTCAAACTTTCTGTAATCTTTATGGACAAGAACTTAAGTGATCTCCAGTGGAAGATGGCAACTGGGAAAAAAGAAATACAGGTTTAAATTACAAATGTCCTCAGTCTCTCCATTATAATCAGTTTTTCTAAGGAAGCACCCTAAGCAATATTTTTAATTAGCTTGTAGAAAGTAAATGTGTCTAATTGTCTTTCCCACTTATGAAATGTAATGCAGAAAAACAGGAAATCAATAGTTCTGCTACATACTGAAAACCTGACAACCAAAAAAGGATAACCAATGGCAAGTTTCAAATTTTTTTTTTGATCTAAAAGAAATTTAGACCAAAACCTTAAGCAATGAAAGACTGTTTAAGTACTACAAATAACAAAGAAATATGAAAGAAAAGGAAATCCATTATTTTACAAAAACAAACTAAAAAAGTCCTGGTAAATCTGCCTAAAATACTGAGTTGCAAAATAAAGCAACACAGAGAAGGGGAAACAAAAACATTAATGTGGTAGGAAAATACACATTTACTTAATTAAACAATGGGAATCCATTTAGATAAAAACAGAAACAAAGTGACTCTGAATTCCAAGGCATACTAAATGCTATATGGCTAAGTTACTCCTAAGAAGTAAAATGCAAACATTTCTAAACCAAGGGAACAATTCTGTTTCTTTCTATATAAAACAACCACAAATTGTAGTAAGGTTATTTGCCCCTGAAATTTGTGAAATTCATAAAAACTGAGGCTCATGAAACTTGAGAAAAGAACAAAATGTATACCTAAATATATCATTGTGGTAATAGTGCTTTGCACTACAGCATAAAAATTAAACTCCTTGGATTTAATATTCTTTTATGTGTAACATAAAACATTTTTATTTTCCAAGCCTGAAATCTCAAAAAGTTGTAATAGATTGCTTTACATTATTCCATAGTGAACCATCATGTGATTTAAAGCTCTTTCTCACCTTCAAACAGATGCAAGCAAGTGCAGTAGATGGAAGAGTGTAGGGAGTGGGGTAAGGGAGTAAGGAAAGGTTCTTTCATATTTTCAAACAGCCTCTCTCCCAAGGTTTTAGAATAAAAAAAATTAAAATAAATTTTAAAAAACCACCTCTGGACCTGCCATTTAATTCAGAAATTAAGAATTCTTCCTGAATAATTGCTTATGGTATAAACTTCAAAAGCTGAGAAATCTTAAATGTATTCAGCCAGTTATTGCACTCCAATGAAAATCTTACCTTTCATAGTAGTTGTACAATATAGTTAAATTAAACCCTGATATAACAAACAGAATAATTTCCTGTAACATTTTTTCTAGCATAGAAATGAAGACCACTAATCAACTAGTGTCTGTACTGAGTGTGATGAGGCAGGATATTTATCTATTTATGTTAGTGCAAGGTAACAAATATATTTTAAGATGAAAAAGAGGACTACGTATAAAACATATATAGTATGGTCAGAGTTTCATTTTTGTATTATGTGCTTGTTGTATTTTAATCCAAAATCTTTTGTACTGTATTTCATGTTATATAGTTTTTGGACTGGACTGTTTTTCCACAAAAAGAAAAATTAACTGTTTTCCACCTTAATATTCAACCTACCTGCCCATAGTTGTCTATGCCAGTTACTAATCTATTTAAATTTAATAAATCAAAAGCTGTCCTTAGGGATTGGCCAAGAGTCGTAAGTCCTTCAGCCTGAAGGTTTTTCAGTTCATTCATAAACGTTGCATGGTTTTCTTTCCATCCGGCCTAAAAAGAAATATGTAAGAACGGTTTTTTTCACTATTTAAAGCCATGTATACACAAAACACCATTACAATCTGTAGTTGATCAAACAGCTGCTTTGCTTTACACTATGGTTTGACTAATGTGTAATTCTTATCACCGCTGAAGAAACTCTCCTCCGAAGGTGGCCAAGAATCAACCTGCCTGCACCACAGCTTTGGGCAGCCGAACTACTTCACAACTTCCCTGGGAAATGTACTCCCTAACTTAACACCCAAAACGTGGGGATGTAAAGTGCTAGCGGGAAGCAGGCGTGGACAGGACTTCTGAAGTTCACCTCCCGCTGCCCCACGACCCGCGGCCTCTCGGGAAGGCTCCTAAGATCAAGCCCCGCAGCCCCCCGCCAGGCTGGCTCGCCAGC